ACACCCGCCGACTCCTTTGATCTGATCACCGATACTGGTTCCTCCGAGCAGGTACACCAACCAAGAATAAATTAAACACGAAAAGTAGGCATTCTAAACACCAAATATTTAATACAGCACTTATTGCAATCCTAAATCATATCAGCTGCTATTTCATGCACCATCATTGCAACCCCACAAGCATACCATTATGAAGAATGCATACTACCGTACAATCCTTTGTTTGTTGATCTGTTAAACAGCAAAACGTTCCTACGAAACACCATACTTGGCCCTACGGTGGTTATTATCGAGTGCAGTAGTATGGCCACACTCGTGAAAAATGAACATAAATGTTTCAGCAGAACCCTTGCTGGAATCCGATGATCAGCCCACTTCTCCCCCAGAATCTTAGGTGAAGATAAAATCTGCTGGTGAGGGTATGGAGAATACAGGTACAAAACAAAGTGATCATAAACACACACACACGTTCACAGATGAGTGACCACCGCACACAAACCCGTATGCACAGGTGTAAATATAGCCAATCACCCATGCAAGTTTAACCTCTGCACTCGCACCATTCACTCTCTTCACCACCACTCACCAGCAGATTAGAATCTTCACCACTCTTCACCACTCTTCACCACTGATTTTCTCCACTCACTCTGACGATTCACTCTCACTACTCATTCCACCTCGCCTCCTCGCCACTCCCACCCCTCCACCACTCATCATTCTCACACCTCACTAACAACCACCTTTCTCTCACCACCCATTTTCGCTGCACTCTCACCACTCACTGAAAATCACCGTTCTCTCACCACCCGCTGTTACTGAAATCTCACCACTCACTCAATCTAACCACCTCACCATACCCATCCACAAATCTTTGTCACCACTCACTCTCATCACCAAGTGTCACCACACTCCTACCATTCTGGCCACTCAATCTCACCACTCTCACCACCCAAAACTCACCACTCAAACCACTCATCCTCACCACCCTCGGTGTTTTCACTCTCACCACAGATCCATATCTTAAATATGAGCCTTTCAATAATGTCCGTTCAGTAACATATAATCAGCTGATGAGAATGGTACCATGTATGCACACTGCACGCATGCGAGATACGGTATACACTCGCGCATGTGCAATTTATGCACACTGCACGCATACACACATGTATGCACGAGTGCAAACAAGCATGCTTGGTGTGCTCATGCATGCACACTACTGCCATCATGACATCTCGGTATACTGCACACTGTTGCACCCCTTGCCACCCTAACCACCCACTCTCGCTGCAATCCCACCACTCACTAAAGATCACCACAATTTAACCAACCACTCTCACTGCACCCTCACCACTCACTGTAACCACTCACTCTCACCACTCACTGTAACCACTCCCTCTCACCACACTCTTACCACTCTGACCACTCAGTCACACCACACTCACACCAATCCCACCTCACCACTCAAACCACTCACCCTCACCACCCTCTCAACTCTAACTCTCACCACTCTGAACAATTTCAATCGTAAGCATCATTCTCTCAAGCGACAGGTGGCATCAGTGCCATACGGCTCATCATATGCCACCTACCAAGTACGAGCATCATGCTCTCAAGCAACAGGTGGCATCAGTGCCATACGGCTCATCATAAGCCACCTACCAAGTACGAGCATCATGCTCTCATGCCACAGGTGGCATCAGTGCCATACGGCTCATCATATGCCACCCAAGGGGTCTCAGCCCCTTTCACTTTCACTCACCCACCCAAGGGGACTCAGCCCTTTTCACTTGCTCTCAACCTATGCTTCCATGCTTAAGGGTGGCATCAGTGCAACTCATCATGTGCCTCCAACTAGCCAAGCATGAGCGTCATGCTTCCATGCTTAAGGGTGGCATCAGTGCAACTCATCATGTGCCCCCAACCAGCCAAGCATGAGCATCATGCTTCCATGCTTAAGGGTGGCATCAGTGCAACTCATCATGTGCCCCCAACCAACCAAGCATGAGCATCATGCTTCCATACTTAAGGGTGGCATCAGTGCCATATGGCTCATCATATGCCACCGCCAACCCCACTGCCTCTCACCGCCATCACCCCATCACCACCATCACCACCCAGCCCACCCATCCCCTCCCCACCTTACCTGCCAGCAGTAGGAGCAGCAGACAGCCCACTCCTCTTCGGAAACAGCACCCCCAGGGGCTGTGCCTTGAAGGGCGAGGTGTGGCAGTGGAAAATTGCTTCCAGCCCAAGACTCAAATCCCACCCCTGACGTAGCTAGAGCTGACGCGAACCAGAGTCGCCGGCCGGTCGACTCTGACGGTGCCCATTAAGCCTTAACGTCAGGTTAGTTACTTGAGCACCGAGTGCCGTGCCGCGCAGATTCCACCCACCACAACCCGACCCGCAAGGCACATTCCTAGAGGATGCTGCCCCTGAGAGAGTGACCTGCCCACTTGCTCCCATGCTTCCCACCGCCTCCCCACACTCCCCTTCACCCCATGCCTCTTACCTCTACCTACCACAGCCATGCAGAGCGCCATGTTGCCTCAGGGTGTTGGGAAGTGGGGATGGATGAGGAGGGGGGGAGGGGGAGAGAGGGGGGTTAGTGCGATGGCTCTGTCCCGCCCTTGCTCCCTCTCTCCCTCAGGCTGCATCGACCGTGCTGGAAAGTGGGGAGGGGGGCAGCGGGAGGGAGAAGAGGAGGGGTAGGTGAGGATGAAAAGAGAGATGCCTCTGTCCCGCCCTTGCTCCAGTGCTCCCTCCATACTCAGTCTGCAAAGAGAGGTGGGGAGGAAGAAAGAGAGGAGCGGATCAGATCAGATCTCCATACCAAACCTGTTACCATACCTTACCTGATACCATACCACACCTCGCTCACGACTCGACCTAACCTAGCCCGCCTATAACCCCCCACCCCCCACTGCTTCTGCTGCTGCTGCTGCTGCCGCTTCTGCTGCTACAACTGCTGCTGCCGGTCTGCTACTCAGCTTCTCTGCTACAGTCTTCTCTCGATGCCCAGTGGCCTGCAGGGGTGGGGACAGAAGAATAGGGGGAAAGTAAAAGAAAGTGAATAGGCTGGACTAGAGAAACCAATGAACTGAAGTTGACGAGAAAGAGAAGGCGGAACTACAGAGCAGAAATAGAGAGGGTTGAGGGCTAAAGGGGAGGCGGCGTACCTTGAGAGGCCAAGCCCAACCCGATAATCTCCCTTGTGGCAACGACTGGCAGAGCTGTCCCCCTCCCATCCCCACAGACAGGCACCTGCACGGCCACAGGCGAGGGGGGTGGAGGCAGACGAAACGGGGGAAGTAAAAGCAAGTGAGTTGGCTGGACCAGAGAAGGAAAAACAAAACTGAAGTTGATGAAATCGAGAAGGCAAAAATGAAGAACAGAAAGAGAGAGAGACGAGGGCATGAGGGCAGGTGACGTACCTTGAGAGGCCAAGCCGACCCCGATACTCTCCCTTGTGGCAGCGACTGGCAGTGCTGCCTCCCTCCCATCCCGTTGAGTACCTGCACGGCCACAGGGGAGGGGCGTGAGGGAGCGTCGGTGTTGACCCCCGCCCCTCCCCTCCACCTGCAAGACACACGCAGAGCTGGTCAGTGGGCAGCGAGAGGAGGAAGGGCGAGAGTGCAAGACCGAGAAGAGAGTTTGCAAGGCGAGAGCAGGGAGGGGCCACTGGTGGAGGACAAGCCACAAAGCACAGACACCAAGGGGTGAACCTGAGAGCGTACCTGCACCTGAAGGGGTTACCTGCACCTGAAGGGGTTGCCTGCACCTGATCTTTACCTGAGGGGTTACCTGGAGTTGGGGGGCCTGTGGCATGTGGGGCGGACCTAACCAGTGGCACTGCTTTAAAAGGAAGGGTGCGAAAGCAGATGCGGAAAACGAAATGGCAGGAGCAAGGGCGAGGGCATGGAGGAAGGGACACTTAGCTGATTGTGTGAGAGCGAGCAGAGGGCAGCTGAAGCACCACTGCAGTCTCCACTCGATGCCAAGTGACCTGGTAAGGGGGGGAGAAAGGGGGGAAGTAAGAGCAAGTGAGTTGGCATGACTAGCAAGAAAACAAACTGAAGCTGAGGAAAACGAGAAGGCGAAATTAAAAAAGAACACTCTTGAACTCGAGGGATCGAAGAAAACCAAGTAGCAGTACGAGAGAAGAAACGAAACCAGCTTAGACAGGGACGGAAAAGGAGGCTCACCTTGTTCGGCCGACCCAATCCCGATACTCTCCCATCCTATCCCAGCCGAGTGGAGTGGTGCCCCCCTCCCCTCCCACCACTGCCACCTGCACGGCCACAAGGGGAGGGGCGCGAGGGAGTGGCGGTGTTGACCCCCACGCCCCTCCCCTCCACCTGCAAAGAGCACACACAGCAGCAGTGAGTGTACTGTGTGGGGACTAAAAGCGAATCGATTCATGAAGTGTGAAGCAAGGGAAGGTAAGGCCAACTGGTGCAGCATCAGCTCCAAGCCACAGACGCAAGAGGGGTTACACACCTAGAAAGGATTGACCTGAGAGTATACCTGCTGTACCTGGGGGGTTTACCTAAGAAAACAGCGTCTGTGGCATGAAGCTTCGGCTCAACCAGAGGCAAGGTTTCAGATGGAAAAGCATGAAAAATGCATGACATTCAAAAGAAAGCACGGAAGGCCAACACCTAGGAGGAGGAATACTTAGCTGGAAAGTTGAAGCCTTGTTGCTGTTCTTTCTCCTCTCCTCCGGCTGCCCCATCCCCTCTGTCGGCCCCCTCTACTGCCCTCCCTCCCTCCTGCCACCTTCCCTCCTCCTGCAGACAGGGAGGGAGGGGGGGGCAAGCATGGACGAAGTGAGTGCAAGGAAGAAAGATGCAAAAGGGAAGGAAGCAGAATTCGACCAGGGAAGATGACGGCGGATGGTGAAAGCTCGGGCTGCAAGGGGGAAACGGCCGAAGGAGTCTACCACGTGGTACCATACCACACCTGGGGCTGTGAGTACCTGAGGCGACCTGCACCTGAACCTACCACCTGCTACCTGGGGAGGTGGTTGACTCCCTCGGCGTGTCCCCTTGCAGCGAGAGCAGACGCGGCGGCATGAGCATGCGGACAGCACAAAGGTGAGAACCTGAGGGAAGAGCACTTAGCTTCGGGCGAGGTTGGTGCAGGTGATGATTCAAGGCAGGTGGCATGAGTGTGGCACTCGCTGCTCCCTTGCCCATGCCGCCAACTGACCTGCAAGAAGGGAGGGCAGAAAGGGACGAAGTGAGAGCACGGAAGAAGGGTGCAAGGAGCAAGATGCAGAAGAGAAATGAGCAGCATACGACAAGGAAAGGCGAAAGCTCTGGCTGCAAGGGGGAAACGGCCGGAGGGGTCTACCACGTGGTACCATACCACACCTGGGGCAGTGAGTACCATACCATACCACCTGCACCTGAACCTACCATCTGTTACCTGGGGAGGTGGTTGACTCCCTCGGCGTGTCCCCTTGCAGCGAGAGCAGCGGTGGGAGCATGAGCATGCGAGACAGAGGTGAACAGACAGGAGGAGTGAGGACCTTGGGGAAGAGCACTTAGCTTCGGACGAGGTTGGTGCAGAGATGATTCGAGGCAGGTGCAGAGATGATTCGAGCACTCGCTGCTCCCTTGTCCTTGCCCATGCTCCTACTGCTAGCCTCAGCGTCAATCCCTGGGAAGTAGGGAAGAGGGGGGGGGGGGGAGGGAATAGGAAGAGAGGGAGGGAAGGGAAAAGACACATAGAGACGAGGAGATAAGAGGTGGTGGGCGCAGCGCGCTGGGTGAACAGACAGATGGAAACGATGCAAGCATCAGTGATGAGGAGATGAAGGGGAAATGAGCGGAAGTGAGGCGGCATGGATGGCGTGTGCGCTGGCTTGTGGATGTGGAGCCGCTGCTGCAGCGGCAGCGAGACAGGGCACAGACCAATCGGGGAAAGGGGTTTAACCTGGGAACGAAAAAGGGGGTCTAACCTGGGACCTGTAGGCTTTACCTGGAAAAAGGGGGTCTAACCTGGGACCTGTAGGCTTTACCTGGAAAAAGGGGGTTTCACCTGAGGGCTGTGGGGGCTGGTCTGTGCCCTGTGCACTGCGCTGCTACCAACGGTTGGATTAAAAAATGCACGAGTTGCCAGGGGGTGCATGGTATGAAGAAGCATGCGCTATGGAATGTGGAAGGTGCAGGGATTGAGATCACTTAGCCTTTGTCGTTGAAGCACAGATCCCTCCCGTTCGACCGTGCTGCCAGAGCGGATGCAGAGACCACCGCTGCTGCCACTGCTGCTGTCACGAACGGTTCGCTCAGCACCGCCTGGCATCACTGCTGCCGTCCGCACTGCACATCGAAATGCGAGCAGACAGCGAAATGAAAATCGATCAGGACGTTATTGAAGCACGGAATGGTGGTGTCGAATATAACAAAAATCGAGAATAATGCAAGATCTACTGCGCTATTACTAGAATTGGTATAACCAACGGACTGAAGCTGGTGAAAGAACGAATTCGGCGAAAAGCTTACCGAAAATCTTATAATGGCAAGCTGGCGACGACTTGGTCGCAGATTCGCGATAACGTGAAAGCAGTCGACGAGGCCTGTTGGCCATCGAAGTCGAATCATTGATCAACGCAAAGAAAGCCTGCATTGATCATCTTACATTCGGTGGGTCTCACTTCGATCCTAACCGTAGCTCGCAAGTTCCAGCGTGTCACGTCTGTGTGGTTCAGGAGAGAAAGAATCGTCCGTCTGCCAGATTCTTCACGTGTCCCCATCACCGACAAAGCGGCTGTAGTGAACTAGAAAGCGTCCGACGTGTCCCCGAAAATGTCGTTTAACCCAGGCGGGAATGAAGGATTTGAGGAGGGGAACATGAACCATGTGAATCTCGACCGTAGATTTTCGAAATCTATCACCCGTTCCGTCACTTCGCTATCTTTCGCGCGCCTTGCACTTTTTCGAAACGCTGGTGTTGGCCAATGCGAGGACACAAACCCTAGCCGTTGTGAGCGGATTGAATTCCTTCTCTGCTCCCTCTGCCAGCCCCACGAATACCCTCAGATCTGAACGTCGGTGACTCCAATCTGCTCAGGCTGGTTGGCGAGACAACCAGTTAGGGTTACGTGTGGGAGCTCGTTTTAGCGAAAAGCCAGTCTCGCGAGTCCTCGTGCTGCGGTTCCTGCTGACGAAGTTGTTGGTAACTTCTCTGTCACTGTCCGCAGATCAGCGATTGCTCTTCTGACTCATGCAGAGGGAATCTCATGACGTGGCAGCTTTGATGATCACAAAGCTCAGGATAAGTTTCGGAACAATGGAAAACGGAACATGTAAATGCACTTACAGTTTTATAACATTAACTTGGTTATATTATTGAAAATGGACATTTAAATGTACAACAAAGAAACTCATCCATTATGACACTGACATCACTGTTCATTGCTAAAATCTGACAGTATTATGTTAAAACGTTACAATTTTCACGCATTTTTCATCCACCATAGCAAAGTCACCAGGGCTGACGTTTCAAATTTAGGTACCTTGAGTACCACCTAAATATCTTCCAATTCACTGAAGAGTTTTTTCTATCAGTCTTGGCGCACTTTGAACGGTGGCAGGTATGATGTGATGATTGCAAAAACCATGAATAGTACCCACTGTATAACACCAGAGCACCAGGGAAAGCACCGAGTGGATTTGCTCAGTGCAGTCAGCCCATCAGAGAAAAAGACATGACGATATGGTATGCAGAAAGCAAGGAAGGATATTGAATGCGAAGGGGCTGGACAAAATTACAAACAATGGATTGACAAACGGGTTTGACAAGCACAGAGCAGAAGGCGTGAAGAGTGGGAGAGGAGGGCGTGCTAGGGATAGAATTGGCACTGATTGCAGGCTTACAAGAATGGGCAGGGTGAAAATGCCCCAGACGGGCCAGAAGGCAATAGAGCACCTGCATCAAGGCAAGATGGAATGCAACAAGGTGAGATGGAATGCAAGAAGGTGAGATCAACGCAACAAGGTGAGATCAACGCAACAAGGTGAGATCAACGCAACAAGGTGAGATCAACGCAACAAGGTGAGATCAACGCAACAAGGTGAGATCAACGCAACAAGGTGAGATCAACGCAACAAGGTGAGATCAACGCAACAAGGTGAGATCTACAGAACAAGGTGAGATCAACGCAACAAGGTGAGATCAATGCAACAAGGTGAGATCTACAGAACAAGGTGAGATCAACGCAACAAGGTGAGATCAACGCAACAAGGTGAGATCAATGCAACAAGGTGAGATCAACGCAACAATGTGAGATCAACGCAACAAGGCAAGGCACCAAAGACTCAAACCGCTGTTCTCAACCCTCACACTTGAGCACTGGCATGGCATGCTATCAGTGAGAGTTTTCATAATAAATCTTTCCCCTTTCTGCAACACCCCTTCTGCCCTGCATGCCATGCCCCCTCCATGCTCATCCCATGGGCCCTCACCACCAACACGACCTGGAAAGCTCTCCATAAACGGTTCCTGAGAATCAGAACCTCAAACGCAGCAAAGTAGCGCACTTACAGGATGTAAGCCGCGAGTCCCACAGCCGTGGCCGCAGCCACGGCGCCTGGCGCGGACTGGTGGTAGGAGCGCGTGTCACGGCGGAAGAGGCGCAGGAAGACCGCGGCGTAGAGATAGATGCCGATGTTCACCGCCGCGCACGCCGCTGCCGCCTGTAGCGGCCGCCTGTCTGCCGAGGAGCAGGGGAATGTGACACAAGCGAGGGGTGATTCAGGTACAGTGAGGTGGCAATGATGGGAAAGGTTCAGAAGGGAGGAGGATGAAACGCGAATTGAAATGAGAGGACGAGACGCCTCGAAGTGACGCCATGGCAACCGTTACGGAGCGATTGGTATTGAAAGGCTGCGACTATCTGATCCGCGGTCGATCAACTCATGCGGTATAGACCACACGATGCGCTTTTGACCATCGAACATTTATGGCTGACCATCGGACGCATGACCGGCAATAACGGGCGACTGACAATTGGACGCGTGATTGCGACTGACCACCGGATGCGCGGGTCGCGGAAGAGCACGTCTAGAAAGTGCACGGAGCCATCACCCAGGTAGAGAACCACGCAGCCTAGCAGAAGGTAAATCGCGTTCTCAACCCATGATCGCTTCCTCCCCTTGAACTGCCGTCGCGGATGCTGCTGCGACTGCTGCTCGTGCGATGTCGGAAACGCGTTTTGCGACTGCTGGCCGTCTATTTCTATCGCCTGTGACTGTCGGTTGCCGTCGCCGGTTGTGCTGTAAGGTGCAGCGCGCTGCGTCGCAGCTGAAGCCATAGTGGAACGAAAAGCAAGAGCGGTTATTGCGGATTCAAGCTAAATCGGTGAGTCTATTTAGGCGTGAATCTCGAGAAAAGGCTTTTTGTTCCAGCTGAGCCTCCTGGAGGAGCTGGCACGAACAGATTTTGAGAAAATAGAGTGCTGTATTTTCAAAATGACATCAACGGCAATGGCGAAACACGGCCAACCATTGAGGAATCCAGCCAGATCCCCAAAGCATATCCCTCGATTGTGTCAGGCCCACCGCGCCCGCGCTTCCTCCAAACACCTTCCCACCTCACCCACTAGAGGACCTAGCGAGTGCAAAACCGCAAGAACAAGGGCCTAGCGTGTGCAAAATTGCAAGAACAAGGGCCTAGCGTGTGCAAAATTGCAAGAACAAGGGCCTAGCGTGTGCAAAATAGCAAGAACAAAGGCCTAGCGTGTGCAAAAATGCAAGAAAAAGGGCCTAGCGTGTGCGAAATTGCAAAAACAAGGGCTTAGCGTGTGCAAAATAGCAAGAACAATGGCATAGCGAGTGCAAATTTGCAAGAACGAGGGCCAAGCGAGTGCAAAATTGCAAGAACAAGGGCCTAGCGTGTGCAAAATTGCAAGAACAAGGGCCTAGCGAGTGCAAAATAGCAAGAACAAGGGCCTAGCGTGTGCAAAATAGCAAGAACAAGGGCCTACCATGTGCAAAATTGCAAGAACAAGGGCCTACCGTGTGCAAAATTGCAAGAACAAGGGCCTAGCGAGTGCAAAATAGCAAGAACAAGGGCCTAGCGTGTGCAAAAATGCAAGAACAAGGGCCTAGCGAGTGCAAAAATTCAAGAACAAGGGCCTAGCGTGTGTAAAATTGCAAGAACAAGGGCCTAGCGTGTGCAAAATTGCAAGAACAAGGGCCTAGCGAGTGCAAAATTGCAAGAACAAGGGCCTAGCGAGTGCAAAATAGCAAGAACAAGGGCCTAGCGTGTGCAAAATTGCAAGAACAAGGGCCTAGCGAGTGCAAAATTGCAAGAACAAGGGCCTAGCGTGTGCAAAATAGCAAGAACAAGGGCCTAGCGTGTGCAAAATTGCAAGAACAAGATCCTAGCGAGTGCAAAATTGCAAGAAAAAGGGCCTAGCGAGAGCAAAATAGCAAGAACATGGGCCTAGCGTGTGCAAAATTGCAAGAACAAGGGCCTAGCGAGTGCAATTTCGCAAGAACAAGGGCCTAGCGTGTGCAAAATTGCAAGAACAAGGGCCTAGTGTGTGCAAAATTTCAAGAACAAGGGCCTAGCGTGTGCAAAATAGCAAGAACAAGGGCCTAGCGAGTGCTAAATTGCAAGAACAAGGCCCTAGCGTGTGCAAAATAGCAAGAACAAGGGCCTAGCGTGTGCAAAATTGCAAGAACAAGGGCCTAGCGAGTGCAAAATTGCAAGAACAAGGGCCTAGCGAGTGCAAAATTGCAAGAACAAGGGCCTAGCGTGTGCAAAATAGCAAGAATAAGGGCCTAGCGTGTGCAAAATTGCAAGAACAAGGGCCTAGCGAGTGCAAAATTGCAAGAACAAGGGCCTAGCGTGTGCAAAATTGCAAGAACAAGGCCCTAGCGTGTGCAAAATAGCAAGAACAAGGGCCTACCGTGTGCGAAATTGCAAGAACAAGGGCCTACCATGTGCAACATAGAAAGAACAAGGGCCTAGCGTGTGCAAAACTGCAAGAACAAGGGCCTAGCGTGTGCAAAATAGCAAGAACAAGGGCCTAGCGAGTGCAAAACTGCAAGAACAAGGGCCTAGCGTGTGCAAAATTGGAAGAACAAGGGCCTAGCCTGTGCAAAATTGCAAGAACAAGGGCCTAGCGTGTGCAAAATAGCAAGAACAAGGTCCTAGCGTGTGCAAAATTGCAAGAACAAGGGCCTAGTGTGTGCAAAATTGCAAGAACAAGGGCCTAGCGTGTGCAAAATAGCAAGAACAAGGGCCTAGCGAGTGCTAAATAGCAAGAACAAGGGCCTAGCGAGTGCTAAATTGCAAGAACAAGGCCCTAGCGTGTGAAAAATAACAAGAACAAGAGCCTAGCGTGGGCAAAATTGCAAGAACAAGGGCCTAGCGTGTGCAAAAATTCAAGAACAAGGGCCTAGCGTGTGCAAAATTGCAAGAACAAGGGCCTAGCGTGTGCAAAATTGCAAGAACAAGGGCCTAGCATGTGCAAAATTGCAAGAAAAAGGGCCTAGCGTGTGCAAAATTGCAAGAACAAGGGCCTAGCATGTGCAAAATTGCAAGAACAAGGGCCTAGCGTGTGCAAAATAGCAAGAACAAGGGCCTAGCGAGTGCAAAACTGCAAGAACAAGGGCCTAGCGTGTGCAAAATTGGAAGAACAAGGGCCTAGCCTGTGCAAAATTGCAAGAACAAGGGCCTAGCGTGTGCAAAATAGCAAGAACAAGGGCCTAGCGTGTGCAAAATTGCAAGAACAAGGGCCTAGTGTGTGCAAAATTGCAAGAACAAGGGCCTAGCGTGTGCAAAATAGCAAGAACAAGGGCCTAGCGAGTGCTAAATTGCAAGAACAAGGGCCTAGCGAGTGCTAAATGTTATTGTCACAATAGGCTTGAATGTGCCTAAAACGAAAGATAGAGAGCACAGATGGATTTCTGCACAGCGGCTTCAAACGTTGATAGCGTTCTGCTCACAGCTGCAAATGACCTGATTCAAATTGGATCTGGAGCGTCTTCACGTCGTCTACAATTAGCAATTTAGATTGCACGATTTAATAAAGAATTGACGACACAGCGTCGGTTTGAACGAACGGTACTATGGCAGCCACTATAGTCTTAGAACACAAGATAGGAAGAGTTACGAGTTGGGAATGACTCCCAGCTCCTACAAACCCCAAGAGCCGAGGTACAGTGATGTGGAACAGTGCCACACTGTCCCCAACCATGAAGGGTCTCGAAACTACCCTTCACTAGGGCCTACACCAAGTGAAATGTTACACTACACAAAGTAATGTAACTATCTTCAATATCTTGAGGTGTACCCTTTTGGCGAGCTTCAAAACCACTTGAGGCTTGACACCAAGGCTCAGGCTCTTCATCACAAACTCATCCTTGAGTTCTTGATGGGTCTGCTGCACACACCTGCGACACGCCGAACGTTCGACACAGGACAAAATAGAAACCGCGCACGACAAAATAGAAACCGCGCGCGAGACACAAACGACCGCGTAACACGCGTCTAGCGATAACTCGCTATTGACTCGACACACACACTCGACATCATGACTCAACATTCACACACAATTATAAGCATGAAATATATATTATCCCATGCCCTCATACCATTCCATACACACACACATTCACGCACACGGACAACAAGCCGAGTGCAAACCGTAGGGTTGCACCAACACTAAATTGCAAGAACAAGGCCCTAGCGTGTGCAAAATAGCAAGAACAAGGGCCTAGCGTGTGCAAAATTTTAAGAACAAGGGCCTAGCGTGTGCAAAATTGCAAGAACAAGGGCCTAGCTAGTGCAAAATTGCAAGAACAAGGGCCTAGCGTGTGCAAAATTGCAAGAACAAGGGACTAGCGTGTGCGAAATTGCAAGAACAAGGGCCTAGCGTGTGCAAAATAACAAGAACAAGGGCCTAGCGAGTGCAAAATTGCAAGAACAAGGGCCTAGCGTGTGCAAAATAGCAAGAACAAGGGCCTAGCGTGTGCAAAATAGCAAGAACAAGGGCCTAGCGTGTGCAAAATAGCAAGAACAAGGGCCTACCGTGTGCAAAATTGCAAGAACAAGGGCCTAGCGTGTGCAAAATAGCAAGAACAAGGGCCTAGCGTGTGCAAAATAGCAAGAACAAGGGCCTACCGTGTGCAAAATTGCAAGAACAAGGGCCTAGCGAGTGCAAAATAGCAAGAACAAGGGCCTAGCGTGTGCAAAATAGCAAGAACAAGGGCCTAGCGAGTGCAAAATTGCAAGAACAAGGGCCTAGCGAGTGCAAAATTGCAAGAACAAGGGCCTAGCGTGTGCAAAATTGCAAGAACAAGGGCCTAGCGAGTACAAAATTGCAAGAAAAAGGGCCTAGCGTGTGCAAAATTGCAAGAACAAGGGCCTAGCGTGTGCAAAATTGCAAGAACAAGGGCCTAGCGTGTGCAAAATAGCAAGAACAAGGGCCTAGCGAGTGCAAAACTGCAAGAACAAGGGCCTAGCGAGTGCTAAATTGCAAGAACAAGGCCCTAGCGTGTGCAAAATAGCAAGAACAAGGGCCTACCGTGTGCAAAATTGCAAGAACAAGGGCCTACCGTGTGCAACATAGAAAGAACAAGGGCATAGCGTGTGCAAAACTGCAAGAACAAGGGCCTAGCGTGTGCAAAATAGCAAGAACAAGGGCCTTGCGAGTGCAAAACTGCAAGAACAAGGGCCTAGCGTGTGCAAAATTGGAAGAAC